ATCTGAAATCAAATCAGCCACTTAAGATGAAACTATAATTGGCTGTTGGTTAATCTAGGAAAAGAAACAAAAATTTATTCACAAATCTTTCATTAGTACATTAAAAGAACCAAACTTCAATATGAGTCTGTCACAGTCTTTGCAAGCAATAGAAAAGAGTACTTTTGAAGGAAGCTATTTTAAAAACAGCACGATGACAGCTACATACTGCTCTTGTTTTCAGAGTGAACTGAATCAGCCCACTGTGCTACTGTCTCAAATATTTTTCCTAATAGAAGTGCCATTCACTTTTGAGGCTTACCTCTCTTGAAAGGCTCAACTTCCCCATCAAAGTTGCGAATCTCAGTGAGCCCATAAATAACAGAAGAAAGACAAGCATGGAAAGTCCTAACCCTCTACTGGAGCTAGTCAGTAGCACCCACTTATCAGAATAGATGGTATGAGACTAAGTGGTGTGTGGGTTCAGTACAGAAGACAGCAGAAAGAACGAATCGTACATTGTGACATCAGAGGCTACAATTTATTTTTAGATTATTACCATACAAATATGAACATTCTGAGCTAGGGATCACTCCAGCATGTGCTAATGCATTCGGTTTGCATTAGCCATGCTTGTGGCAAAGCCTCACTGCAGATCTCAGGAAAAGCCGTTTTCTATACAGGCTGCTTCTACTCAGATCCTCACATGAGTTTTGCATGCAAAACACGAAGTAACCATGTGTCATATGCGCCTTATTTTTAATGAAAATATTCAGAAAAAAAAAATCCCCACTAGTTTACAGGGCTTAAAGAGAGATGAGCTGGCATGTAATATCTCCAGAATAATTTCCTCCCCTTTGAATCCATCCACTACAAACTGCCTATAAATTGTATTTTTCAATTTTCTCTTCTCTAACCTTAAATCAATTTCAGGTTGTGAAAAGTTGATTAACATTGTGCCTCATCTCACTAGAAATAATTTTCCAGGAGTATTACCTATAATGCTTGTTTTTTTTCCACTAAATAGCAAGGCCTTACCTTGTGTGTCTGTGTTTTTAGTGTTGTGGTTGTTTTTTTTTTTGTTTGTTTGTTTGTTTTTTCCCCAATCCAATCTGGGGACTACTATAACAAATACAATGAGAACTAGAGAACTATTAAAAGGTGACAGAGCTGAGTACATAACCCTGTCAGATGTGGGGATCGAAATGGCTCAGAGCATAAATGCTTTACAAACATTGCTTGAGTGCACCTGAGTTGAACTGTGACAGAGGATGGCTGCAGTTGGACATGAGACTTATATTGATCTGTGCAGTTCATGTTTATGTTTTGTTTTTACTAGTTTTTTGGTTTGTTTTTTTTTGTTTTTCTGTTTTTAAGACTCACAGTTTTATAATGCAGTGCACACAACTAACCACTGACCAATTATACTCATGCTGAAGTGATCTTGGACCTTGATGACAAGACTTCAAGTGACAGAATGACTAAATTATATGCTGGTTATAGCATGATGCTTATTCCTGTCCTACCCAGGTGGAGCTGTTCTTTACACTATGTGATTCAACCATCAAATAGCAGCACGCGTGTTTGAAAGGCCAAGAGGAGGCTTTATTGAGAACCTGTCAAAAACAAATGAGCAAACCTCCATGTGGCTGTTAGTGAATGTTCCTTGAATCACTCTTTTGTTAAAAAATAAAAAGTCAAACAGATCCTTGTTTCTATATGATACATGTAACACAAAGCTTCAGTTAAACAGCTTTTCTTTCTGCTTCTTGCCTTCATCTCCACATGAAAAATCTTCAGCCGAAGGATGCCTATTAAGATCCAGATTTTTATCAAATGTAAAATTTGTTAGGTAAATAAACTGCCCAGGAACATAGATGCAACTAAGAAGACAGTCTTTCCAAGAAAAAAAAAAAATAAGATAGCACAATATCACCATAAGCCTATCAATTTAAACACTCTCCTGATTTAATCCAGTGTGCATGTTTTGTTCAGGGCTTGCTTTCATTTGCTTCCATTGTTAAGTCTTTTAAAAACTGAAACTTCATCACTAAGCACCACACTTAGATGAATAAGAGAAAAAAACAGATTTTTTTCCATTTACATGTTTGTATTATTTCTAGATGTCTGTGGCACAGCACTGTACTGCACTTTAAGACACAAGTTAAGTAATCACTCCCTCCAGAAATGGAGAAGGAAGCAAATTTATTTTCTTTCTATACATATGCTTTACAGTAGAGACCAAGCTTAAAGGCCACTAAATTCAAAGAGGGGAAAAAAAATTAAACTAGACATGAATCAGAATCCTCTCGAGGAACAATGCGTTTTGGATGCCAAACTGAATTTCAGTTATAAGACCTGGTGTAACTTAATGGTCTGTACTCGCAGACAGCATACTAACAATAACTGTGTCTATATGATACACAGGCAGAAGAACAGAGAAAAATAACAGCTCTACTGATGTGCAAAACAGCAACAATTTCAAGATGCTAAGAACAATTAGGTCAAAAATCAAGTCTCATTTTATAATATCCTTAGAAAATGATATGCCTCGCTGATTTTGAGTTACCAGAAACTGCATGGCATGTTTTCTTGTTCCTGTATTTAATGATTCATTGGAATATGATTCATAAGGCAGTGCGTACTACCCTCTACTCATTACTATTAGCAAAAGAAACATGAAATGCCCTGCCATAACACATACTCATTGCATAGCACCTATATAGATGTCTCAATATGTGCTATTAATTGGTGCAATATCAAAAGCATGGCTTGTAAGGAAAAACAAAAGACATATGAAATTAGCTCGGTGCTACAAAGCAAAGTTGCGTTTTCATGCAGGAATCAAAATTAATTGAACTAATTACTTCTTTTCCAGCTGTGATAGAAAATTAGTTTCTTTCTTCACTGTTAGATTTATAAATTTAATAATCGATGAACATAATTCGCCCCTTGGAATGTAGACTATAGCTCTTCCATTTATAGGAGATACGCAAAGGGGTTGTCACATTTATGTTTTAAAAGGAGAAAAGAGATTTCCATTTTGGTGTGCTTGTAAATCCATCCAGTTATGCTTTGTTCCCTAGGACACCTGCTTCTAACATACGCATAAATGCTGTCATTTTTCATTATCAACCACCAAAAAACAGAAATCAGCCTGGAATTCTAAAAAAGGTCTACATATTTTTGTGGTTTATTTTTAAACACCAGATATCTAAGCACACGTATGCACTGATGCCAGCAGTAAGACCAGCAGCAGTCCACCCACACAGCTTAGAGACGCAAAACACCCGAACACCACAGCTCAAACGGCTCCATCGGTCCCCGCTTCGCTCTCTGCGCCTCCAACGAGGCGCTCAGCTCCGCGCAACGGAGGTGTGCCCAGGCGCTCCCTTACGCTCCAGCCCACCTTCATCGGAGCGCGGCCCCGCACCGCCCGGCTCCACCTGGCGAACTTTCTTCCACTTCCCCCCCCCCTTTCCGCTCCGTCCCCCACGAGCCGGCGGACACCGCAGCGCGGGCGGCGGGACGGCCCCGGCGGCGGGCGCGGGCCCACACCGCCATCTCCTGGCCGCGCCCCGCCACCACCGCCGCGTCCCCCGCAAACTTCTCGCTCTCCGCGCTGAGCACCGCAACCAGCCGAGCTCCCCGCTCGCCGTGACGCGTGCCCCAGGGCACATCACGGCAGCACGGAGGGGGCCCCGCGCCCTGTCTTCCAGACTCTGCCCGGGGTGTGGAGGAGGGAGCGGACTGCTAGAGTTGACAGGAGGCCAAAAGCGGCGCTGCGGCGGGGCCGCCCCCCCTCCCCGGGGCGCTGGGGGTGGCGGCGGTCTTTCCTCGGGGAGGGGGCGCCTCCCGCCGACAGCCCCCGCCTCGCCCGCCCCCGCCCCGGCTTTGCGGAGAAGCCGATTTACTGCCGGGGTGGGGGGGGGGGGGGGGGAAGGGGGGGGCGTGCTCTTTTTTTTTTTTTTTTCCTTTTTTCTTCTCTTCCCCCTTCTCCCCCCAGCTCCCCCCCCCTCCCCTCCCCCCCCCGCGCCAAGCACACTGCCTCTCCCCAGTGCCAGTGCCTGCTCCATCACGTGCGGGAACTCATGCTCATCACAAAAGCGGGCATTCTGCCCGAGCCCGGAAAGAAGGAAATAAAGAAAAAGGCAAAAAGAAATGTATAAAAAGGAAATAAATGGGGGGAAAAAAAAGATAAAGATACAAAAATATATATTAGAAAAAAAAAGATTAAAGAAAAAGAAAAGGAGAAAAAACCCACCGCGGGTGAACCGCTTAATCCAAGACGAGTCAAGATCTCCTCTGAAGGGCCGCCTCCCTCGCTCTTCCCCCCCACATCCTCCTCCGTCCCCTTTTTCCTTTCTGTGGCCGTGGCGGCGGCGGGGGAAGTGGTTAACCAAAACCCGACGTGTTGGTTTTGCGTCCCCCTGCAAACCACGGCGCACACGGAGCACGAGGCACCGCTCCTGCTCCTCTCCGCTCTGGCAGAAAACTGTGCCTTCGCTCTTCCTCTCTCTCTCTCTCTCTCTCTGTACTGCAGATATTTTTTTCCCTTCTCTCCTCCACACTCTTCTGTTTATTTGGCTGTAAGGCAGAGAGCTACTTTGTAAACATCTCACACAGAGCCCCAGAGCCTTTCCAAATAGCTGATTGCAGCAAAATGCCTCCAAACAAATAATGGTGCAAGGGGACTACCGGGGACAAGATCGAAGCGGATAAAAAAGAAATAAAATTTGCATAAATGTGCATATGTGACATCGCGGTCGGCATAATGGTGGAGATGGCAGAAAGAAAGTACCGGTTTATCACGGTGGGGAAAAGTAAAAGCACAAACGACTGCAGCAAACTGCTCGCTCTCTGCCAGAGTACCAACTGCAACACCTCTCCCCCACCCCCGCTGGAAAAAAAAAAAAAAAAAAAAAAAAAAAAAAAAAAAAAAAAAAAAGCATCAGAAAAAAAAAAAAAAAAGAGAGAGAGACAGAAGATGAAAACGCAAACGATAAGCTCAGCACTCCTACCTTAATGCTGGAAGAGAGGCAGAAGCGGAGGGGCTTTTTCACACAGCCAGATTCCTTCAGGAAATCCTCTCAGGATGTCATGCAGCCGGTGTTATCACACAAGGATCCTGCTCTCCTTTTTGGAATCCAACGCGATTTGCTTCTCCAAAGGAATGCAGTGACCATGAATTGGGGGAGGGAGGGAGGAGGAGGAGGGGAAGAAAAATTAAAAATATCAACAGGAAATAAAACAGCACTGGATGCGCAGGAAACTCGTGCTCTCGGCTGTCAGCGACCTACATTCAGGCATAAAATTCATTGCAATCGGTGCAAGAGGGTGAGTTGGGTCTGCGAGCAGGGGCTGTGATTGCCTATGCAGAGCCCGAGCCGGGGAGGCTGATCTGCAAGGCAAGGCGAGCGGGGAGGGAGCGGGAGAGAGAGGTCCAGGCTGTACCAGGCGCACTCCTCCTGCTATTGGATCAAACTGAATGAAATTTACAAAGCCGGCAGCCAATAGCTCTCCGCAGTCTGCCCCATCACTACAGAAACCGTATCTCCATCCCCAGCCTCTTGCGAGGAGCATCGCATCCTCGCGCCGAGCAGCGGCGGCCGGGCCCGGGGGCGGAACAGGTGGGCACGGCGACGCCGAGCGAGAGTCGTGCGGCGGCGAGATGCCGGGGGGGTCACACCTTGCGGACCGCCGCTCCACTGCCTCACCATCGCATACGGCAAGAGCAGCAGTGGTTAACCCTTTAAGACAGCAGTTTCTCCGGTGCCAGCCTGAATTCACCAGTATGATTTTACACTAAGCTAACAGTATAATTACACATCAATCACTGAAGACTTTTGCTGCTGTTCTCTTTCCTCCCATACAAAAATGGCAACGAAAACATTGCCCAGTACCCCATCCTTTTAAACACTTTTTTTTTTTTTTTTTGTCCCCCATAAGGAGATTGGTTATTTAATGTTAATATTTGAGTTCGCTAACCATTGTTGATCTTGAAGGTCAAGAGTAAGGGCTGAAGAAGGACCCTGTGGTTATTGCTCAGTAGTGCAACACAGTCTCTGGTTCATTTCCTGTGTATAATTTCAGACTAGGGATGGTGTAGCAAATATGCCTTGTTTCACTTCTCAGCATGTCCTTTTGATCAGTTCAGTAACAGCAATTATCATTAGCCAGAGTGTGAGGCCCTGAGATCAGTCCAGGTGAGTGCTGACTGAGTTATCCAGCCAGGCAAAGAACAAAACAAAGGGGTCTTGAACATTTCTTCATTGTTTCATTGAACCGTAGAATCATTCAGTTTGGAAAGATCATCTAGTCTAACCATCATCCCAGGGCTGTGACTGTTCTAGACCACGTTATTTGAAACAAAAATCCTCTTCATGCTTTGATGAGGCTTCCTGTCACAATACATAAATAGACTTCGTAAGATTTGTCATTTTCAACTGCTGGAATAATAAATACCATCAGCAGCTCTTCAGTTGTAGTAGTTACTTTGTTTCTACCACCACTACAGATTCACAGGGCAGAGTAGACAGCACTTTGTTTCCTCAAATTTGAATTCTGTCTGTGCTAGTGGACTTAACCATCACTGCTATGCTTTCCTGTTTCAGCTGGCATGAAAATATATACTACCTGATTTAAAGATGCCATTTCATAGGTAGCAGCAGGCCTGTTATGTCTGTTCTTATATACTGCCTTGTTATACTACATGAAGTGTCAAATCAAGATCACTTCAGCATCGCTTACGAAGGGAGCTTTTAAACGTTTTGAATTTAAGTCATCTATTTGCCAACTTAAAACGTTTTAAGTAATGCAATAGCTACATTGAACAGTTATTTTCCAGTGAATTAATTATTTTTATATTAATTATATGTTTTGCCTTACTTATTTTAAATAAGCTAAGTACTAAGTAAGACTCTAGCAGCAGGTGTTCGTGCAAGCGAGTTTTACTGCTTTTGTTATTTTAATAACGCATCCAGAATCTGCAACCAATCATGTTGTGTGACTGAGTGAATATTTTGACACATTTAGAAAAGAAGTCATCTTGCACTGCCATCTGTCCCAAATTTTGCAGGACAGTCTTTATTTTGATGCTTTTTGCAAGATAAATTTGGAAAATATTAAAGTATGCACTAGTTAATCTGGCAAATAATCTCCCACCTGTGTTAGAATATCAGAAGGCAATTATTACAAGTTACTAAAGGATTATCTCTTAGATTTGAAACTGAGGTTTGCAGCTATGTCCTAAATATGCACAAACATAGCAATAAAACTCAACTCTCCCTAGATTCTATCCAAGGATATGATAAAAGATTTTAAGTAAAAGCCATTTGGTCAAAACATTGGAATGTACTTTTCTTCTCTTCTAACTTTCAAAAAGCTAAATGTACGATCGGAACTTCTGGTTTATTTGGGAGTGTATCTGCAGCAATCCACTGTATACTTATAACACCAAGCAGAATTCAGGAGCAATCATTCAGAGAGAATACCACTTGCTAAGTAATACCATCACTTTTTACAAGGAGGAATTGCATTCTTGTGTTAACCCAACTTGAATCTACTTGTAACTTGTGAAATCCAAAGAAATCACAATGCATGACAGTTTGACTGAAGAGAGGCGGCCAAACTGCTGGGTTCCATCCCAAGAAACCTCTTTTTGTGTCAGTGAGGCATGGTTTGGTCTCTCATGTCCAATCACTGTAAAATTTACAAATGCATTTTGAAATCAGGTATAGCGTGCTGTGTACTGATGCTTTGAAGCATAAGGATAAGAGACTTTTATAAAATAAGTCCCTCTCAAATGATGTTTGTTTGGCTAGCTACTCAATTCAAACTATTCATATTCAGAATACAAACTTGAAGCAGAAAAAGAGGAGCTTTCTACAACTGTGTAAACAGTTATTGATTTGTTGCCTCTCTACTGTGTTTGTTTGGTTATCTTACTAAATATTTAAAATACTGATTCCCATCCAGTCACTCTCATGCAAAGGTGAATCAGCAAGTGAATGGACCTGATATACTTTATGAGGTTGGAATGCACTCTTCCACTGCCTGCAAGTTTCAAAAAGCTTATCTTAAGTGGATTGAAATCCACAAAGAATTTTCTACTCAGGTCGCTAGATGACTTCATTTCATGGATAAGAAGGTGATAAAAGGCAGTAAGCAGAATTGTTCTTCATAAGACTTCAAGCGAATGAGAATTGCAGAAGAATACAAGGTCAAACAATAGAACAGAACAGAATTAAAAGGAACTAGAATGAGTCCAATAATTCCCCTAGGTAAACTGAGGGGAAATATATATATATTTTATATATATATATATATATTTCTACAGAGATCTTTCACTATGTTGGCCAAGTACTCAAGTACTTGACCAGGTATACTTTTCATAATGTCACATAATGCTATCTTGAACTATAACATGTGAATTTTTCTTTTTCTTTTTCTTTTTTTTTAACCAGTAAATAGATACTCTCGCTGTTGAAATCACGTTCCTGACACATAATTTTGCAATACTGGACTTCACTTTGACTTTGTCTATTAAATTTAAGAGCCACGCGTTATTAACTTCATTTTGCAACTTATATACTTTACAGATTATGATTACTCAACCTTCCAACCTTCTTACTGTTGAGATAATTATATTCTTTTTCCTTAGTCTCCTACAAGACATATTTTACAGACTGTGATTCATCCTTGCGAGGGTTTTCTCAACCTTCAGCATTTATCAGTATGCTCTTTAAAATGTAACCTCTAGACCAGAATATGGAATTCACATTATAGTCATATTAATACAGTGTGCTTCATTTTTATTTATTTAAGGATCAAATTTGGTCATGGTCTGTAATTGACATTACCTCAGTTATTGAGATCCCTACTAAGATCTTACATGCTTAGCCTTTGCTGTTTTGAACCAGAAGACAGAGCAGTAAAAAAAAAGCTACAAAGGTTGCTCTGAAAGTAATGCCTCCCCTTTATTTCCATAGAAACTGCAGTAGATATAAAGAGCACAATAACAGTGATTGAGCAAATTCTCATCTACAAAATCCTATTTTTCAACACTGTCACAGCCATTAGCTATATATTTTCAATAGCAGTGAACAAGAGCCTGCCTATTGAGCTCATAAAATACTTGTACCAGAGGAGCTGCTGCTGCTGCTGAAATGCGCTGCCTCCTTGTGCCCACATACACTGCTCGGTCTCCATAAACATTTAGCAACCATTGATGAATGTCTGCATCAATGGGTGCATTTTTTTTTCTTCTTTTTTCTGTGTGAAGATATTCAGTGACACACTTCTGCTACGTATACACTTCCGTGCCAGATGCTGTTTTATCGCACTGCCCCATGCTGTCATCAATTGCATAGGGGAAATAAGTTGTAGGCCAACATAACAAAATAGGAGGCATTACTTTTGAAGCAGCCCTCCTTATTTGTTGTGTGAAGTCCCTCCTTCAGTTATCTCAATTATCTGTGCTTCCCTAACTTTATTGCACATAAAATAAACTTCATGGGTTGTTACTGATGACGCTGAATTGGAAAATCATTCCAGTTCTTGCTTATGCTCTATTTGCATTCATGAACATTTAAAATAAGGTACTTTCTTTGATATGAAACTAAAACTGAGGAGTCTTTTCATCAATATCTGACACCATCACAATAACATCGTTACTATAGTGTAGAATAACAAAATCACAGAATCACAGAATCAGAGAATAACCAACGTTGGAAAAGACCTTCAAGGTCATCCAGTTCAACTACCCACCTATCACCAACAGGTGATACTAAACCTACTGTCTCTCAACAGAAAATCCAAATGTACCTTGAACACCTCCAGGGTCAATGACTCCACCACCTTCCTGAGCAGCCCATTCCAGTGCCTGACCACTCTTTCAGAAAAGCAGTATTTCCTAACATCCAGCCTGAATCTCCCCTGGTGCAGCTTGAAGTCATTCCCTCTAGTTCTATCACCAGTTACACAAGAGAAGAGGCTGATCCCCAGCTCACTACAACCTCTCTTCAGGTAATAAGAGAGAGAGAGAGAGAGAGCAATAAGGTCTCCCCTGAGCCTCCTCTTCTCCGGACTGAACAATCCCAGGTCCTTCAGCTGCTCCTCATAAGGCCTTTGCTCCAGACCCCTCACCAGCTTTGTTGCCCTTCTTTGAACCTGCTCCAGAGCCTCAATGTCTTTCTTGCAGCGATAGGCCCAAAACTGGACACAGGTCCAAGTACAGGGGAACAATCACCTTTTCTGTTCCTATTCCTGATGCAAGTCAAGATGCCATTGGTCTTCTTGGCCACCAGGGCACACTGCTGGCTCATGCTCAGCCAAGCATCAATCAATACCCCAGGTCCATTTCCCCTACACAGTCTTCCAGCCATGCCACCTGAAGCCTGTAGCATTGCCTGGGGTTGTTGTGGCCAAAGTGCAGGACCCATCATTTGGCCTTGTTGAAACTCATCCTATTAAGTGTCCTTAATCTTCAAAATATCCCTCAAACATTAATAAGTTAAACATGAAATTAA